AAGAAAGGAGAGTGAGAAGAAATGCAGCCCACCACTGAAGGAGCAACACGATGCCAGCAGACTGGTAACACCACATGGCAACATAGAGATTAATAGAAATGGGTTGAGTTAAGTTATAAGAGCTAGCTAACAAGAAGCCTGAGGCATCGGGCCATACAGTTTGTAAATAATATAAGCCTCTGTGTGTTTACTTGGGACCAAGAGGCTGAGGGACACGGGTGAGAGAGAATCGTCCCAACAGTGGGGCCTGGCAAGGACCAGAGAAATTTCTGGCTACATCTAATCACCCAACAACTTCATCAGGTGGGTACTCTTATTTCCAACTCATACATAAAGCTCAGGTGCACTCTAAGTTGAGATGTATTACACTGTTTTTCAATGTAGAGTCAGAAAAATATGGTTATTCTGACTATCCCAACACTAGAACTCTCTTCCTGGGAGTAGGACAGGGGATGGATGGCTGTCTGAGCCAGGCATGATGGCATATTCCTGAAATCACAGCAGAAGCTGGAGGATTTTAGTTTGAGGCCAGCCTGGGCTACAGAATGAGATCCTGTACCTTGTCTCAGAACAACCAACCAACCAACCCTGTCTAAATGCAACTGTGTCCCTCTTCCTATCAGAAAGTTGCTACAAATCACACTATCCCACCACATCATCAGCTGCACATCAGCAAGGTATCTGGTATCCATAGTGACTAAGCAGGGGTAGGAAATCAGAACATTAAATAAACACTACTTTTTTTTTTAGCTCTACGTTTTTTCAAAGCACTATGTACTGTCACAGATAGTATGGGGCCCAGACGTTAGCAAATAAGAAAGACAAAAAAAAATACAATTTTTTTTGAAATATATATATTTTATGTGGTTAAGATATTATCATAGCAAATGGCCACACTTTGGGTTGTCTGTGCCAGTGCTCTGCAGGCACCTACAGAGGACTGACAGATGGACACACACACACAAACAAGCAAACTAAACTGATCCTCATGGCACATGGCCAAATGCCTTATTTTCTTTTGGGACTCTGTGTACAAAGCATGCCGGGCTGTTTCTACAGCCATAGATGACAGCCCAATAAAATAAAAAGTAATGATTAACTTTTGCTCCCTAGAGGCCACTGAGTAAGAAAAAGATATTTCCTGAATAACCTGTGCATAGAGACAGCTGACTTTCCCAAGCTCCCTGAGGCAGTTTTAAAACTATTTGCTATAGGCTAGTCTTGGAGGTCAGATTCTGGGTTGAAATGTTTACATAGGGTCTTGGGGTTAAAACTCTCCATGAAGATGTCTGTTTCCAACTTTCCTTCTGATACACCTGGAGTCTGGACAGAGACCGAAGTCTTCCAGGTCTACATATCTGGAACTGGCATTTCTGTGGGATTAATGATTATACGCCAGGGCTTTTGCCAAACACTAAAGATATACAAGCCATTAGGGAAGAAAGGCAAACGAATTAGGCCCTCAAAGAGACATAGCAATTGATCAAACCAAGCAAGAGCCTCTCCAGCTGCAAGAATTGCAGGGCACAAATCCCAGAAAGGGTTCCCTAGAGACCTGTCAATTCAAACGGCAGTGGGTGCTAAACAACTTCCAACCCACTCACAGCATAGGGAAACAAAAATCTGGAGTTCACAGCCCTCCAAGGAGTCTCCATGGTAAATCCCCTGTCTCTCAGCTGGTACCTTGAGGAACCAAGGTGAACTGGCACTGGGCTTGAGAGACACCAAAGCTAAGATTCAGACATTCCAGTTCCTAACTGGATTAGGCTAACAGGACACAGGGGCAAAAGGAAAGACTCTCCAGAGAAAGACTGCACCAGCTGGACCTCAAAAGCTTGCCACAGCTTTCCACACACAATGACTGGTATTCAATCAAAAATAACAATGTACCTGTGAAAACAAGATGTGGCCAAAAAACAAGGATAAAAGGAATGCATAAACATGATAGCCAAATGTTTCCTAACAGGTGGACACACTGGAAAATGATGGGGGGTGGGGGCTAGAGAAACAGCTCATCCATTAAGAGCACTGCTGCTCTTCCAGAGGACCCGTGTTCAATTTCCAGCACCCACATGGCAGCTTTCAACAGTCTCTACCTCCAGGTCCAGAGAATCTGATGCCTTCTTCTGACCTCCATGTGCACAAAACACACACATGGTCCACACACAAAAATGCAGGCAAAGTGCATGCACACATAAAGTAAAATTTTTTAATAAAATAAATATTTTAAATGACTGAGAAAACAGAGTAAAAATAGCACTAAACATGAAGCAGGGCAGCTGAAATGTGAAATACCGACAACACCAAGTTCTGATAAGGACAACTTTGGTTCTTTCATCTTCTTTCTTTGGTTAGAAAGAGAGAAAGGCAGCTGTATAGGTAGGTTCTTGTTATGTTGTTTTCTAAACTTTCTGGACTTCTGTAACATCTCATAGTTAAGAGTTTTAAAAAGAACTGAAAGGTGAGTCTGCAGAAGGGATCAGCAAAAGCTAAATCATTTTCGGCTTTCAGTCATATTCAAATGTTACCCTTTCTTTATTGTACAAACAGTAAGGAGCCATTCAAACCCAGGTATACTGGTACAAAGCTGAAATTCCAGCAGCGCACTAGAGGCAAAGGCATGAGGATTCTGAGTTCCAGGCCAGCCTGGGCTATATAGTGAGCTCTAAGCCAGCCTGGGCTATGCAACAAGACTACAACTCAAAAAAAGAAAAAAGAAAGGAGGGAGGGAGGAAGAGAGAGAGGGAGGGACGGATGGACGGACGGACGGAGGGACACATGTGTGAATTTAAATGGAAAAGGGGCAGTATTAGATTTTTTTCTGCACAAAGACCATAGATTCAAGAGACGAAGTAACTGATGAAACAATGACGACTGCTCATCTACTGGATAAAGAAAGCTGTAAAGAACTCAATGACGGCATCAATGATTTGGGGTTTAGTTCTCAAAATGATGAGTTGCAACCCATCAAATCAGAAAGCAAATGAGGCCACTGTGACAAAGATGAAATCTAAATGGAACAATTTCATTGGAATAAGGGTGACATCCAGGAAATAGCCTGTGACCGGTGAAAGGGAAATGTGTATTTTCCTACAAATCCTTAGAAGAAAGTCAAGCCTATAAAAGTGAAAGCTAATGAGTGCTCAGCTCAACACCAGATGGTCAGATAGATACATTCACAATGTGCCAAAATTCTGGAGCCTTGCACAGCCCCTTCCAAGCATGCAGATGCTTTAATCTGACAGGGAAAAATCTATTTCTGCCTGTGACAGCAAATGCCAAGTCACGTCTTGCCAGGGGAGAGAGTGGCCGCTGCCAACCACAGCCTCCCCAAGTATGCACACTTGTATCCTCACTTAGAGACACAGGTTGTTTGACCACTCCTTCCACCAGCCCTGGCACAAAGAAAGGAGGACAGAGTTTCTAAAGAACTCAGTTTTTTCATCTGCATTCCCAAAGGTAGATACATATCTCTAGGTTATTCATGAACAGTTCATGTTCATCTGTGAAAACAAAATTAAGCATCTCAAACAGAAACTTATCTGCACATTCTGAAAACGGCCTGAGGCATGGAGTCCGACAGATTTCTCAGGGACTCTAAACTGGCTAACCTTCCACTGAGAAGCAACTAAAGAATTAATGCTCTTCATCTCTGTCGTCTGTGCACTGCAGAGGGTAAGCATAGAGCATTACCAGTGGGACTGCTTTTAATACTGTTCTTTGGCCAGAGTGATGATGCCTGTTTGCTAGAGATGGAATTATTACATATTCCACCCCCAGTGTGTTCAAAGACAAGAAGTATTCAAAGATGTTCTTTGTAAAGGAGGCACTGTCCAAACACATGTTCATTTTAAATCACAATTTGTAAGTATGGTACTGGAGAGATTGATTTTAAAGGCAGAGAACTTGCATCCAACAATCTTTACAAAGCAGAGTAAGGAAAACTCAGAGGGACAGGGTGGTCTCCTATTCCCGAAGAATATGGTACAGTCTCCTGTCACACAAACGGGTTCATGAACAACCAGTAAGTGACTCGAGTTCCTGACTCGACAGCTACCCATTCTCATTTTCTCCAAATAATGCTGCTGCATCAAAATTTGAACCCATCAAAACCCAGGCAAAGAGTTTCATGAAAATATCATCTACTAGAACTTAACAGTTAATATTAAAACACAAAGAATTTATATATCATATATACTTTGCTCAACTTTATGAGATGGAGCATAGGTAAATGCTCCCAAATAGTTATCATTATCACAATCCAGTGGCATAGAAAACAAGACATTTTTATACAGCAGTCTAAAGCTGAAACAAAACCCATGCACTTGGTATTCTTCAGGGAAATGTGTGCATTGTGTCAAAATAAACACATGAAATCCTTGCTGCTCTGCTTAGAGGGCAGGTGTCACCCCATCAAGGTACAAGCCCACTCGACAAGATACTCACTGGGTTGAGTGTTTCCTCAACAGAATGGTGAACGGTCCACCAGTCTGAGGTCCACTCCCACGCGTTCCCCACTATGTTGTACAAGCCATAGCCATTGGGAGGAAAGGCATCAACCTAAAAATAAAGAGGGAAAACACTGACCAATTACTCAGCTTGCTTGGTACATGAATGTACCAAGACCTAGTTTTTTCAGAATATGAATATTGATTTTCATCCCCATCTGTCAAAAACCAGTCTGAACAAGAAAAACAAAAAGCCCCTGTTTTGTTTTTTACTTTAATCACTCAAGGAATTTAGAAACCCAAAGAGCTTTATTAATGAATGGCCCAGAACTGGCGAAGTTATTTTTAATAGTGACTAACACAAGCTATAAGTATTAAGACTTTATTAGTATGAGAGAGAGAGAGAGAGAGAGAGAGAGAGAGAGAGAGAGAGAGAGAGAGAGAGAGAGAGAACAAGAACAGACAAACAGTATTTAGGCCTCCAAAACCATTAACAGGAATATCCTACTATATAAGTATCAATATAAGCTTTGTCACTTAAAATCAGCTTCTGGGGCCACCTAGTGTCTTTCAGCACCATAGATACCACATCAGCTCCACCCTCTCAAGCTCTCTCCAAACTGACTACCTTATCTTTTAGCCTTAATCACTGTCATTAAATAAGGAAGACATTAACTCATTATCCCATGTGTTTCTAATGGCAGGTCTCTGGGATGCAGCAGTCTGAAGCAAATTAAACATTCACCAAGAAATCACAGCACGAATCAGAGGCAGGTCAGACAGTACTGGGTACCACCTACGGACATGGAAGCAAAGTGCAGTTTATGTAAGACAGAACGCAAGAGGGGAAACATGGACTGAACAATAGTAAATTCAGGTCACTGGATAGTTCATGACTTAAAAATTCTCCCAGCCAGGATTGAGGGTTTAGCTCAGTGGCAGAGTGCTTATTTGTGAGGCCCTAGGTTTGGTCCCCACAATAGAAAGGGGATATCATAAAAAGGCAAAGGCATACATGAAAAAAAGCAAAAAACAAAAAAATCTTGGGGGAAAACTTCTATCCCTTCTTTTCAATAGACATTTTTAAAAAAACCAGTTTGTGATGCAAAAAAGTGGTTATCTTTGGGATTTTTTCCTCTCTTCTCATAATTCATGCTTTTCCACACTAACGAAGTAAGATGGTAAGAATGAATAAACTAACATTCATTTCTATGTGGCTTCAGATGGTTTTACATCTACACATGAATACGGAAGCATCTGCTGCTTGGGCAATTCGGAGCATTTCAATCAAAGTTATGAAGCCACGCTGAAAAGAAGTTCAGTGAGATGAGCTGGAAAGCCGAAAAACCCCACCATGCTGCTTCCATAATCAACGTTTACTATGGAAACAGCCCTGCTTGTGCCTTGGCTCATTGAGAAATGCCATGTGTGGCCAGTACGGGCAGGGAGGGGCTCGGTGGCAAATGAGATCTTCAAGAGTTTAATGAGAGGGGGGGAAAAGAGAGAGAATGCCTCAAACTAAAACTCCAGCTCTGAAGAGCTGGGCATGACAGGCATGAAGGCAATCAATCCTGCCACTAGGGAGGCCGAAACAGGATCCAGGCCATCCTGGGCTACATAGTGAGTTTGAGGCCAACCTGGGCCACATTAGAGTCTCTCTCTCTCTCTCTCTCTCTCTCTCTCTCTCTCTCTCTCTCTCTCTCTCTCTCTCTCTCTCTCTGTTTTTTTTTTTTTAAATACAGCTCTACAAAGCCTATTGGAACAAAGAAAGTAAAATGATAGAAACTGCCAGAGAAATTCCAAGGACCAAACTCCGATGGGGTGATCTGAGCACACCCTGGAATAGAGCCTTGCGATCCAAATATAAGAGGCAAGAGGGAGAGAAGGCCACAACATGAGCTATTTGTTCAAGAACGTGGAGGTGACTGAAATGGAAGGAAGAAAAAAGAGAGGAGTCGAGACAGCTGTGGGAGGAAAGTGGAAGATGCCGTGGTACAGGGGGAATAAGAAACAGATATCCACATTCTGGAGGAAGGAATCCATCTTCAGGATCCTGAAGATACAGACAGAGGTGCTGTCAAGAATCCGTCCCAACCTTCATGAGTGCTGCTGTTCCTCACCTGGAAAGTAACAGCGTCTGATCAAAGGTTTGCAGCCCCCTCTTAAATAACAGGATATTTGGGGTAAACTTTAGAGGTTACCACCCTCTTAATTACCAAGATATTATATGGGAAATGAAATTTTCACAGCTCATGGTCATATGAATCACACTAACCAAAGCTTCCTTCCAAGAACCTCAGATGAAATCAAATGGAAGAGATAAATCCTGCTTGAAATGCCAATTTTCAGGCACCTGTGTCGGTAAGAATTAAAACAAAAATGAATTAATGGCGGTGGGACAGTGACCCAGCAGAATATCCATCCAGCTCCTTCAGTTCACAGTGGTGAGCAATCGGAGAGCGGGGGCAGGGAGGAGGACTGGGAGGTTCATGCTAGCCTGACCCTGTCTTAAAAATACAGACAAACAAACAAGTTAAATTCCTGTCCTCGACTTCCCAGAGCATGCAGACAGTAAAGGACCATTCAGGGCAATCCAAGGTCATCTTTGTATGTGTCAACTCAACTTAAAGACTGAGGCTTCCCTCAGCCTTGGTTAAGTCTTGTTTCTAGAATGAGTTCCATCAGAACTCCTGGAAACTGGAACAATTTGATCTTGGTAACTCCAGGGGCAATGTCTTCACGGAAGGTCTGTAGAGACCCGCTGAACTCCGGGGGCAATGTCTTCACGGAAGGTCTGTAGAGACCCACTGACCTCTCTGTCAAACACTAACACTAAACAAGGGGAAAGTAAAGCAGGAGTTTGTGTAGCTTAGTGCTAGGCTAATCCTAGGTTCAATCCATAGTACCACAATAAAGGTAAAATAAACATCTGCAAAGCATCCTCCTCTCCCTCTCCCTGTGTGTGTGTGTGTGCGCGTGCGTGCGTGCGTGCGTGTGTGTGTGTGTGTGTGTGTGTGTGTACAGGCCCTCTGAGCTTTGTTGTTTACAAAGGTACCCAGAAATGGATCAATTCTTTTTTTTCAGCTCATCTAATTAAATGCACATACAATACTGTGGTGGTAAATATAGGAAATACCCATAACTGTCCAAATAAGCTTTATTGTGGCCTTTTACTAAAATTGACTAGTGCTTACATTACTGATTTGGTTCATTACAGTTACCATAGACTTCTTCAAACAACAGAGATAATGTTGGCTGTTTCCTGTGCCTCTGGAATGGAACCTGTCCATCTCTTAGGACAAAATGATCCTGTTCAAGAGCTGAGCATGTGGACACTTCTGTACTTTGGCCTTCACAGCTCTCATTCAAATGCTGTTACTATAACAACTGAGGTCTGTCGCCACAGCTCCATCTGAGCCATGCCCTGGACTCAGGGTTTATTGTAGCTGCTGCAGGTGCCACACATGCTTTGAGAGAGGCCCCTCCTGCCAAGGTCTCCCTTCCTGCCAGGCTCTTTCATGTGTTCACATCCAAAAAGGTTGGAAATGAGTTTGAGACAAGCAGTGTTATGCAATTTCAGGGCTACCTGCACCTATAGGTGAAGCTTCTGCCCTGTTCTTGCTAACAGCCAGCATCTTTTTATTACATCTGTGTGTGTGGTGTGCGTGTGCGTGTGCGTGTGTGTGTGTGTGTGTGTGTGTGTGTGTGTGTGTGTGTGTGTGTACCCATGCACCACAGTGTGCACGTGAAGTAGAAGACAACCAATGGGGTCTACATCCTTCAAACAGATGGGTCCCAGGGATCAAACTCAGATCATCAAGCTAGGCGGCAAGCATCTTTACCCACTGAGCCATCTCACTGGCCCAGACAACCAACACCTTCCCTGGAGTTTGATGCACACTCAGCTCAGGCACCGCCACAGACATTTAGCTCCTACACCACCACTTCTGGTCGAGAGGCCTACTAGAAGTCCTCATTCTGTACCCTACTCTGTACCAGAAGTCTTTGCTAAGCCTAAAGAAAGGTAGAAATCATTGCCTCCCTAAGACCGTAAATGTTTTGCCAAATAAAACTCTGTATCTGGGAGAGGAGCAGCTATCCTGAAGAAAGTTGAGGAGGAACCAGCTACCAGATGGCTTGATTTGCCTTTTCTGCCTCTATTGAATAATGCATCATCTCCCATCAGTTTGTGTTGGCTTAACATATATGTAACTCACATACATGGAATGGATACAAACACAATGCATCACGTGCTTGCACAGGGCTAAGTGTCCTCAGGCAACTTGGTTTTTAACCTAATTGTGCTCCAAACACTGCGGTGCCTAACAATAGCTCAAACTGCTTTTCAGTTTCTTTTAGATCAGGTGCCTCTTCACTCTTTCTTTTCCAAGACGTTTTTCATCTTTTACTCTCACTTAGTTAGTCTTCAAGCTGAAATTTTTTAACCATTTGGTCATATTCCAAATAACATATCTGTGTCAAATGTATAAATAGACTTTGCAGGAAGATTTTCTTGAGGAAAAAAATGCAAATTAAAAAAAAAACAGAAAAAGAAGAAACTGTTTGAAAGACTCCAAGAACATTTCTTCCTAACAAACCCTGTTATGGGCTATTTCTCCATCATAAAACTCCTTTCCTCATTATGTTAAGAGAAAGTAGAAAGTTTTTATCTGGTCGGAAGAATGGTACCCCCTCAAAACTTCTACTGAAACTTAGTCATCAATTCAACAGAACTAAGAGAGTGGCCTTGGGGAGAGGGGGGTTGACCAAAGAATGATTTGGTATGATGAGTACTTTTATAGACGGGCTCAAAGTTGAATGGGCGATGCTATGGCTCTGGCCATAGGAGGACACAGTGCTCCTTGGTCCCTTCAAAGAGATGCCTATCTTACTGAGGCCTCCATCTTAGACTTCCCAGTTTCCAGATCTGTGGGACATGTTTCTGTTTATCAATGACCTTGTCTACGGCATTTTGTTATAGCAGCACAAATTAAGTAGGACAGTTTTTAAAAAGAGTTTGATTATATATTGTCGGTAAGAGCTCCATGAAAAAGGAACTCCTCTCCATCAATAAAAGGAAACATGCCATGGGCACTACTGAACACCATTTAACCAAGGTTGGGAGTGTAGCTCAGAGGTCGAACACATGCTTTGCCACAGGCAAGGTATGGGGTTTGATTCCTGGTGGAAAAGGAAAGGGAAATGGGGAATGGAGAGAAGTTTTCTAACCTTTAACCATTATTGCTGGGAATTTTATTTTTAAATCATAGATAGCTCAGTATGAATATACAAGATGTTCACTACAGTACTGTTTAAGTAAAAATAATTCAAATCCATAACAATCAGAGGTAAATTAGGATTTATTTATATGACAAGTTATCTAGCTGGTGAAAGACAATGTGATCATGACCTATAAACAACAGATAAAATGCTCCTTACAGTAAGGGGAAAACAGTAAGATTTAAAATGTTCTATCCAGAGGCTAAAGAGTTGGCTTGGTGGTTGATGTATGTACTGCTCTTCCAGAGAACCTGAGTTCATTTTCCAGTGCCAAGTTGGGTGGCTTAGAACAACCTGTATGTAATTCCAGCTCTGGGGACCTAACTTCCTCTTCTAGCCTCTGTGGACACCTGCACATACCCACACAGGGACATATAACTAAAAATAAAATCTTTAAAATATCCTATCCAATGTGATTGAAATGCAATATATAAAAATATATATGATTCATATATACCAGAGATACACATGCTGGCAAATAGGGTAGTTAAGATCATAGGCTTTGAGAACAAGCCAAGCTGATTCAAATCCCAGCTCAGCCACTTCCCAGCTGTGTAACCTTGAGTGAGACAGTTCATATCTCTGTGCCTCAGAAAGTCACTTGGAAGACAGGGACACCAGTACCTACCTTAGAGAGTTAAATGCTAATTAACACATTACTAATGACAAGATCTATGCATGGTGATGGAGCACCAGGTCTGGCACACTGCAAAGCTGGTGCCACAATCCCCATTAACCCCTACGATGAATGCAAAGGCCGAGGTCAAAATGCTAACAGGGATAATAACCTGGGGGAAGAATTCCAAGTCAGTTTCCTTTCTCCTCCGCCCTGGTAGTCTTTCTCTAAATCTCCTATAGTCTGCACAATATAGTCAGAAAGAAAATGCATCCTAAAAGAAACATCTGGTGACTTCTAGCATTGGCCACTCTTGAGGGTCGATAATGTAGGGAGAACAGTGTCAGCCAGAACATCCAGTGATGTCTTTCACTCCTTTTTTTTTTTTTTTCTTTGAGAGGGGTGGTTTGTGTTTTCTGCTTCTGTTTTAACTGTGTGTGTGTGTGTGTGTGTGTGTGTGTGTGTGTGTGTGTGCATGTGTGCACGCACACACAATGTATTTGTACATGCTCATGGCACAGTGTGTGTGTGGAAACCAAGAGACAACTTGTAAGAATCTGCTCTCTCCTCCCACTATAAGGGTTCTAGGTGAAGAGTCAGGTCACCACACTTGCCGGCAAGTACCTCAACCAACTGAGGAATTTCCCTTGCACTGTTTTTGTGTTCTTGAGATGGAGTCTCATATAATTTGAGCTAGCTTAGACCTCACTATGTAGCTAACTTGAACTTCTGATCTTCCTGCCTCAGTCTCCCAACTGCTGGTATTAGAAGCATGTGGTGCAACACCTGGTTCTTTCATCCCATTTCTACTGTGCTTCAATTCCCAGGGACACTCACTGCCCTCCTCTAGAAGAAGCCTGGCTTGTTGTGGAATATTAGATTAAGATGTGTTACATTCATTTATGCTATGGAATATCTATTTAATGATGCAAAGATGTGTTGCATTCTTTTATGTTGCATTTGTTTAACTCTGTGAAGCTGTGTTACTTTGCCTGCCTAAAACACCTGATTGGTCTAATAAAGAATTGAACAGCCAACAGCTAGGCAGGAGAAAGAAATAGGCATGGCAGCCTGTAGATTTTAGTTTATTGATACAAATTTAAAGTTTATTTCATTATACTTTATATAGCTGCCAGGCACAGAGAATAAGTAGGAGGAGAAATCTAGGCTTGAGAAAGAGAGCGAGGAGCTACAAAAGAATGAAGAGGAGGATGCCAGGGGCTAGCCACACCACCAGCCACAGAGTAAGAAGAGAAGAAAGTCATACAGAATTAAGAAAGGTAAAAAGCCCAGAGGCAAAATGCAGTTAAAGAGAAATGGGATAATTTAAGTTAGGAAAGCTGGCTAGAAACAAGCCAAGCTAAGGCCAGGCATTCATAAGTAAGAATAAGTCTCCATGTATTTATTTGGGAGGTGGGTGGCAGGCCCCAAAGAGTTTAAAAAAAAAAAAAACTACACTGGCTACTCACAGGCGCAGTTCCTTGGAAGCCATCCTCCCCGGTGTTGGTCACAGGAAACTCACCCTGCCAAATGTTGGCATAGTGCTGGCCTTTGGGCTTCAGCTTGTTGCCCCAGGGGAAAAGCCTAGCAGGAGAGACACAGGCATCAGCACGGTGCACAAGCTTCTGGACTGCAGTCAAGAGAAAGGATGCAATAGAAGAGAACAAACAATGCACATGTGTTCTGATGAACTTTTCCTTTAGAAGATATACTCACACATACAGCTTCGAGTCAGTTTTCTCAACATTTCCTTATAACAACTCACGTCAAGGACACAACAACTGCAGTCTCTCCTCACTAGTGAAAGGGCCTGAGATAAATGACATGACTGAAAGAAGCCTTCTAGAAATCTGAGAAACGAGGCATCATTCTGGACTTATATGGTAGCATGAGCAGGCACAGCACACCACACTTTAAAAAAAAAACATGTCTATTTTAAGGAGCTTTTCCTAGAAGATGTGACCCACACATGAGTTTTCTGTCTTATGGCTGTAGAAGCAGAGAAATAGCACTGCTTCAGAAGACAGCTAAAATAAGAAAATAATAAAAGCAGGGCAGCCTGCCAAGCGGCTCTGAAGAGGGATACACAAGAGGGGATGGATGCCTAGAACTACTCTGGGGCTGCAGAAAGCCCACTTGGCCCCATACCTGGCTTTAGGGACTGTAAAGAGCTGTTGACTCACTCACTAGTGTCACCAAAGGGCCTCACAAGGAAGAAGAAAAGCCAGCAAGAATAAGAGCTGTTATTAATCAACTTTCTGACCGCAGCAAGTTCCACGGAGCTGAAGAGAAGAGGAAAGAGGAGGTTGGGGGAGGAAGACGGGGTGGAAGAGAATGTCAGCATACTGCTGGACAATACAAGGCCTTCTGATATGAGTACCTGTTGTGCAGGCCTCCTCTACAGCTGTACTCCCACTCTGCCTCCGTGGGCAACCTCTTCCCTGCCCACGTGCAGTAGGCAATGGCGTCATTCCAGGAGACATGGAGAACCGGGTGATTTGGCCTAAGGAGGAGCAAGCACAGTTAAAAGAGACATGGACCTGAACAGAAAACAGGAACTAGATTCAGAAAGTGATCGTAGTCCCCCTCCATCTGGTCATGACTTCAAAGCCTAGCCATGATACATCTGTACTGTCCACTGGGGACTTTTGAAGTCTTAGACTCCCTAATGGGTCACAGCTCGTCTTGAAACTGCACTCAAGCATTTCTCAGCTCTGCAGCCTTGGATGCTCACAGATTCCACAGGGATGGTGGACACAGGGAAGCTCCACCCCACTAGTTTAGCACTAAATGTGCCATCTGAAGATGCTTCTGGCTCCCTTAGCATTCCGCAGAACAGTCAGGGGCATCTTAGGGACATTCTCCCCATCACAATAGGGCCCACAGAGACTCAGCTAAATAGGCTGTACACACCTCAGCGCTCCATGAGAATTGGGCCAGAACTTTGTTGGATGTAGTTTTGGCATCCACTCCCTTGCTCAAGTGTGGGTTGCTAACAGACATTCTACGTGACAAACTCTTACCTCAGCCTGTTTCCAGACACCTGACTTTAAATTTTGCATCTTTCTGCTATCCTACTAAGTAAGGATCAACCAGCACGATTAGCCTCACTCTAACACAGTGGTTCTCAACCTGTGGGTCGCAACCCCCCTGAGAGTCAAACAACCCTTTCACAGGGGTCACATATCAGATATCTAGCATATCAGATATTTATACTTAAATTCATAACAGTAACAAAATTACAATTATGAAGTATCAATGAAAATAATTTTATGGTTGGGGGTCATCAAAACATGAAGACTTAATATAGGGTCACAGCATTAGTAAGATTGAGAACCACTGTTCTAGCAGATCCCAAGTCAGCCTTTCCTGAGAGAATAGGGGAAGTCAATGGAACTGAAATCACCAGTCACTTTTTTTAAGTGAACTAGACTGGCCCACTCCACTCCTCATGTGTAACTGAATTCCTACCAGGACATTCATTAATTTTCTCAACAAATGTTCCTAAGTAGCTCAGCATCTAGTATATAAATTTAAAAATACATTCCAGTATGGGGGTGCAGCCCAATAGTAGAACTCAAGGCCTTGGGTTCAATTCTCAGCACCACAAACTGAAAATGCACCCTCCTTCAGGTTTTCTTCTTCTATTAGCCTGATGATCAACTTTGGATTTAGGAAAGAAGATACGAATTGGGAGCTAAGAAGTCCAGTTCTCCCCAGGTCCCCAAGGATCCCACAACTTTCTACCTCAGTGTCTATTTCTAGAGGAAGCCAGCTCAGACTGTGAAAAGTTTGCTATCTGTCAAGGGGCTGTCTCTGAAGTTGAACTTCATATACTCCCCACCTCCTGACTATAAGGGCAATAATCCAAAATGTGGTTGAAAACGAAGGCCTAAAACGCCATCTGAAGAATGGGGTTAGGAGAGCACGGTTCCCGGACTGTTGGGAAGCTGAGGCATAATCGAAACCCCTCTTCATCTCCAGGGTTTAACATGTGTTTCTATTTTTGCTTAAGATAATTACCTCCTTGTCACCCTAGAGACCTGCTGACCGACTTGCCACTCTGGGTTTTTTTTTTTTTTTAGTCAGATTGTGGCTTCTAAGTATGTCATTGCAGGACTAAAGAGCACACGGATCCTATACTCAAGGCCACCCAGCAGTATACACAACTACTTATCCATAAGACAGTTCTTCTCCCACATAAAGACTCATTCATGGGTAGACTGTTTTGAGTAAACATGTCATGAGATTTGTGACGGCCTGTACAAAGGGAAGAAATCTGTGAGGAGGCACTCTGTCAAGACAAATGAAGCAAGAAAGAGGTCATTTATTCAAAGCCTTCTGTAACTAGACACAGTGGCTAGGTCTTTACATACATTATTTCCTACCAACCACTTTCCTCCCCAGGAGTGGCTGGCCACTCTTACCATTCACTTTACGTATGAAGATAGCTGCTGAGTTCTGCAAGAGCACAAGAATTTTTTCTTTTTTAATGAACCACATCAACTGGGCATGACCAGACTCACCTGTGCAGAATACTGGAGTCTGGGCCCTCTGGGTGCCTCCAGTTAGCGCCTTTGACAGGTAACCACCATGGAGCAGCTGCAACCTCAAAGCAACCGAGAACAGGCCCTGTCAGCTACCGTAACTCCAGAAAAACACTGAACTTACATGCATAGCCTAAAAATCTCACTTAGAGTCATGATGTCTATTTGGGTTCAAAAACATAGCCTTTACAGAATATCAGGACAATAATCTTACATGTAAATACATCTTTAAACAAAAAAACTATTAATTCATACCATAAGGCACAAGTGTCTCAACAGATGGATGTGTATGTTAAGTGTTGCATAGCTCCAGGAATTTAAGGTTGCCCTGCCCAATAATTCTCTATAATCTGTGACAAGTGGGAGCATGGTACATCTCCCTCTTAAAAGATGGGGAGGTTCTGGGCCACCAGCTGGGGCTGTGTTGGTGTCCGAAGGCCACACTGCCACTGCAGCCATACCAATCAGAGCCGTTTGGCCAAGGTGACATCCAAGCCCGGGAAGCTGATGAGGACCAACCATGTCTAGGTCCATGGTCCTACCACAGCTAGGGTCTATGTTGATGTCTGTGGTCCATGGTGCCACCAAAGGCCACACGGATGCCCAGAGTCTAGGCCATAACTTATGGCCATGTTGGCACTGGAGGGCCATGTTGGCATGAGGGCCACACCAATGAGTGATCCCTGCTGCCAACTGGGGCCATGGGTATCGTTTGGGCCATGGCTGCTGCCAAGGGCCATTTCTGGGTCCATGGACCTACCACAGCCCCAGGGTCTCTGATGTCTTGCCCATGGTGCCACCAAAGGCCACATGGATGCCCAGGGTATAGGCCACATCCTGTGGCCATGTTGGTGTCTGAAGGCTGTGCTATAGCTGGGGCCATGGTGTCGTCTGGGCCAGGGCTGCTGCCAAGGACCATGTCTGGGTCTGTAGTCTTACTGCAGCCAGGGTCTGTGTTGACATCTGTGGCTCCTAATACCATCAAAGGCAATGCCAATGCCAGGGGTCTGGGCCACCATCTGGGGCCATGTTGGTGTCTGAGGGCCTTGCTGCCACCAGGGCCATGCCAATCTGAGTGGCCTGTGCTGCCACCTGGGGCCATGGTGACATCCAAGCCCGGGCAGCTGACAAGGACCATGTCTGGGTTTCTGGTTCTACCATAGCCAGGTTCTATGTTGATGTCCATGGCCCATGGAACCACCAAAGGCCACACGGATACCTAAGATCTGGACTACAACCTGTGGCCATGTTGCAGCCAGGACCACACCAATCTGAGTGGCCCCTGCTGCCACCTGGGGCCATGGGTGTCACCATGGGGCTGGGCTTGGGCTACTGCAATGGGCCATGTCTGGGTCCATGGCCCAACAGCAGCCAGGGTCTGGGCTGATGTCCATAGCTCATGTTACCACAGGGGGTCATAGGAACCATGTGTGTTAAAATCCGAAGGCCTTGATGAGCCAGCCCTGTCCCTCACTGGCCCTAAGACACTGCAGCAGGAGAGCTGGTCCCTCCCCACATGGTAGAGTTGATCCCTGCACTCAGGAGAGATGGCCCTACTCCTCACCACAGGCATGGGAGAGCTGGCCCTAATGGCATGGGCCTAGGAGAGCTAGCTCTGCTTCTCGCCTGAGGGGGCAGTCCCAGTGGCCCAGACTGACCAGCTCAGCTACCACCCAGACCCACATCCTAGGTCTTAGGCTGACATACCCTAACAACTGTCCTATCTATGACCTGCTGGAGTGCACAAAGTGACTGGTCCTGCAGAAGGGTAGCCTCGGGATCTCCATGTCTCAGGGCAGGATATCTGAGAGGGTTTCAGTGAGGGCTCAGTGGTGTGCCAGAGGCCTTGAACCAGACCAATGACTCATTGCAACGAACATTTTGCAGGTGGAGCTGACTGGACAAAAGGGTACACTGAGTGACATACTACAGCTCCCGATGCCACCAGGATGAATGAAGAGGTGTTGGAAAGATGGAGGAATGAGGTGCGTTTTTGTTTTGTTTTTAATTAACTTTGGGGGAGGCATGCTACAGGGGTGCAGGGCAGATATGGAAGGACTAAGAGGTGAGTGGGATTGCAGTGCATGATGTGAATTTCCAAAGAGTCAATAAAAATATCTTTATATATATAAAGAAAGATGGGGAAAGAGTTAATCTTCACGTTAAACATGAGGTTGAAGATAATCCAAAATGACCAAAAATCAAGTGGAAACACACAGGGAAAAACAATGAACTCTATTTAAAAGATCATGGTTCAACCTGCAGCCCGACATCAGCTGGGTAAGTTAATGATGATTCCTGACAGCCTTCATCTGTGAAACCGGATCAAGATCCAGCCACAACTAACGCAGACAGCAAAGGAGGCCAAATCAGGTAAGATTGCAAAGCACTGAGGAAATCATTACTAGAACCTTAACAACCTTTTTACTGTTCTATTAATCATGTTCACCAGAGTAATGAAAGTGAGGAGGGGTCCCCACTGAGTGACTAGTTAGGACCTAAAGCTTTGATGCCAATCAAAATTAGCTTTGAATTATGGCTCTGCTATTTACAGTATTTAACCTCTCCAGGCCTGCTTGCTTATTTGTAAATACAGTCAGCAACTCTTTTAGAGTGAAGAATTATAGCAAAATGGGCTTAAGGCTCTGTGCTTAGCAACTTAGGGTAATGAATGAGCAAGCAGTGGGGAAAGGGATCCAGTCTCACTGGGCAGGGCCCTATGACAAGCAGTTACAAGGAGAGCCATATAAATCAATCATTACTGCTAACAGTGAAGACCAGAAACTTAGGAATGATTCTTCTAACAAACTAGAGCAGACTCATGTTTAGCCCCATGACACTCCTATTCTCAACATACTGCATCCCTGTGAGCTTGGTGGGGTGGAAGTGACAGGAACTGTGTCCCTGCTAACAGTGAAAGCTGTCACTGTGAACATCAAGACTACTCTCATTCATTTTTTTTTTCACATTAGTACAATCAAAACATTTAAGGTATCTCCACAACAATCTGATGAAAAAAGACATTTACTTTAAACACTGTAAAAGAAAAGGCATTTTGTCCTTCAACACAACTGCAAGGCATTCAATTTTGCAGCTCAGGAGCTGAAAGCATGGCTTCCTTCTGCTTCATCTGCAGCTAATCTAGGACTGTTCTGTGTGGTGCCAGTGACAGGCAATTCACTTCACGTCAAGGGACGATGTGCACAGAAAGCTCAGGTCATCTCACTCTTGGATTTCAGGAAGGTAATCACATGACTCAACCTGCCCAACTCTACTCCGAGCACAAAGCTCTGCTAATGGAAGCCTCCAGCTCTTAAATTAAAAAAAGAAAAAACAAAATATATCAAATCTGGGTGGTGGATACTGGGACACCTTTGTTTTTTCTCATGCCATTTTGTATTTTGAAGTATTTCCTTCACCTTTAGCAATGAAAAAAAAATACAGAATCTGTTTTTATCCATTCTGCCTACTAATGGGCATTTAGGCATTTCCAGTTTGGAGCTATAATAAACAGTCATTGGAATATTCTTCAAAGAGCTTGTGGCTTTGGGTAATACCCACTTCTGCGCACTGTACATTGTGGAAAAGGCTGCAGGTTATACATACCCCAGCTTTAGAAGAGACAGCAAATGCAATGTTAGGAGAAGAAGCTCCCCAAGGTCCCCAACCATTCTTCCAAGGAGACTATCCATGGAGTTGGGTTCTCCACAGGATTCTCAAGGGCTACAGCAGCAGTGGCCTGCCCGTCCTTTCATTAGCCCTAGCTTTTCCTGGTATTCAACTGGCTACAGATACTGACAGCAGACCCACTAAGTGACAGGCACCAAGCCTAATTTCCAGAGAGGATCTCCAAGTTTCAGTGAGGCAAGACAGAACAACAGGAAAGAGTAAAAAGATGTGAGAAGGCAAAGAAGTCTCCTTGCCTTGGAATCTACTTTGCCCTTCTTGCTGAGTCAAAAACAAAAGACAAACAAACAAAAAAACCACAACCGATACTGGCAAAACTGCCTCGAGGGCCAACACAGGTTCTAAAGATATGGCACAGATGCTAAAAGCTACCAATGAACCCTGCTTACCTGGGGCCAGAACCATTGTAACCTTGAGTTTACCATATTAGCACTCCTTTCTCGTGCCTGCATCTATGCTGTAAACCTGATTAAAAAAAAAAAAAAAAAGAAAAAAAAAACCACCCTACATTTTAAAAAGAAAAGTCTTTAAGAAAAACTGAGTAAACCAACTCATACATTTTTATTTGGATTTTGAGTTTTGCTTAAACTTTGTTATAAATTACTTCTGCTGTGGAATGTAACTTAGAAAACACCTCAGGCTGGTGGCCGAGTTGGTACACTACTGTCACCAGGAATTGTCAGAGTACAGTTTAAGATAGTTGGTATATTGACAGGTTTTTAAAATTATTTATTTTAGCCAGGCGGTGGTGGCACACACCTTTAATCCCAGCACTCGGGAGGCAGAGGCAAGCGGATCTCTGTGAGTTCAAGGCCAGCCTGGTCTACAGAGTGAGTTCCAGGACAGGCTCCAAAGCTACATAGAGAAACCTTGTCTTGAAAAAACAAAAAGAAAACAAAAAACAAAAAAATATTTATTTTATACATAATAATTAGTTCACTACAAAATGAGGGACAAAGTGTAAACCTAGTCACCTCATTTTCTCTCCAGTATGCTTCTGAAACTCAAACTCACATCCAGATATACACATATCAGTAGCACGGTTCCTGACTTCCCTTCCCACTTTCTTTCTCTGCTTTTGACTTTTTTCTTTTCTTCGATTTTACAATACTCTAGCACACCACCCAAAATGAACAAGTTTCAAGGTCCTGGAGCTATACAATGATCAGCTTCACTAATGTCCACAGAGAAACAAAAGAACCCATCATGCAGGGCATAAGGAGGGAACACTGTGACCACAAGTCTTTGATCAAAGACCACAGACTCCTGTTTAACCCAAAACGGCAAGATCTGAATGCAAAGATATTTGCAGACTATACAGAATACAAGCAAAAAATACACAGTTACATGCGAACTCACAGAACCCTGCTTCTAA